GTAAGCAGCAGGTGTGAGGAGTGACGGTGCCGCCCTGCCTGCGCTTGGGTCTCCTGCAGGTGGAGCTGGGAGCAGAATGAGCACAGTGAGTTTTCCTCAGCTTTGGGGCTTGGGTTGGCTTTTCAGAGCAGAGCAACTCCCTGACGGCGCGGCATGTTAACAGGAGCCCCACAGACATGCTTTCAAGTCCCCCATTTTTCACGGTTGCCAACAAAGTGGTGCTGTGGCTGCTGGCAGGCAGCATGCAGCTGCTGACAACCCAGCTGTTTTTTGTCTTCTGGATAATCCTAGGTAGCCCTAGCCTAGAGCAGCTGCTTCCGAGACCAGAGGGTGGGGTGGATAAACACTAAGCTAGGTCATGGCCCCCGGACTCTTGTGTGCCCTCCTTAGCTCCCTCTTCCTGGCCAGCCCTGCCCCCACAGTGCTCTAGGCCCACTGCACTGCTGGGAAGCCAAAGGCCTCTGCTTGGCTGGATCCACCCTCCCCAAGACAGGTGTGGTCTTAGCTGCCCCCAGGGAGGAGGCAGCTGCTCTGAGCCCTGGCTTCTCAGGGTCAGTTAATGTGGTGGTACAGTGATCAGGTTGTCAAGCTGAGCTGAGGGCTTGTGAGGATTCTGGCTAGAAAGGAAAGAGGCCGACAGAATTTAAGATGATATGTACAGCCTGTGAAAAGCTATATGGCCCTGCCACAAAACAACTGGGAACAGATCTAGCAATCTCACTGCTGGGTATGTCCCCTAAAGAAATAAAGAGCCAAAAAGAAAAGAAAAGAAAAAGGCCTACTACACAGACATAACGCACTTCTGTGTTCATCACAACACTGTTCACAGTAGCAAGAAGACAGAAACGGCTCGAATGTCCATCAGCAGAATACTCTCCATGACACCATGAAACACTGTATGACGTGGATGGACCTGGAGAGCATTATGCTGAGTGAAGTTGGCAATCAGGAAAGGTTAAATATTGTGTGAGACCATTGCTGTAAGGGTAAAAATCAAGACAGATTTGCATATCAAAAGGAACTGACTTTGGAGACTCCTAAGAGAGGGAGGATGAAGCAACTGGCTAGTAGGTTGGCAGTCACTGTCAGTGAAAGGGAGGCTGGAGATCTGTAGAAGGAGAAGTGAAATCACAAGGGGGGCTAGGTGGGGGAGTTGATGAGTGGTTTGAACTGTTGATTGTAGACAGTTGGAGCTTTGAAATCTCACCACCACCTACATCATAATAAAAATAAATGCTTTAGTAAAATAAAAATAGAGAGATGTTTGTCTGGGTAGACTAGAGAAACAAACTCATAGACACTCATATGTGTATAAGAAAGAGCTTTATATACAAGAGCAGTTGAATATTGAGAAAAGGTCCCAGCCCAGTTCAGATCAAGTCCATAAGTCCAATGTTAGCCTATGTCCAATACTAATCTATAAAGTCCTCTTCAGACTCACAAAACACATACAATGATGCTGAATGCAGGAAGATCACAGGTCAGTGGTTGGGAAGTCTTGTGGATCCAGTGGCATTGTAAGCACCTTAGCGCTGGCAGGGGTCTCCACGTGGCTCCTCCAGCTCAGGGCACTAGTGTAGTTCCATGTGTCTTAGCTGCAATGTCTCCCAGGGAGTGAGGAGAGGTGCCTCCCACCTCCAAGGAGGAATACAGGAATTTCCAGAATCCTCAGGAGAAGGCCATGCCCACACAGAGGCCACATTGGCTATATCTTGATTAACACTCTAGACTCCACCCTCACACTCTTCTCAAATTGACACCAGATTATGTAACTACCACAGAGAGTCTCAGCAAGTATTCCAGAGTGGACAGAGCCTGGACTTCTCCTGCTTGTCTTGTCTGTGGCCTCAGTCTGTACTCACAGTCTCCCTCACTCTAATATGGATATGGCCCCTCCTGCCTGCCCCAGTGCATTCCCCAGCCCGGTTCACCTGCTCCAGGCTGCATGGAGCCCAGCCCCTGCTTAGCAGACCCACCTGCCTGCTTGGATAAGGGGTCTCTATAGGAGGCTGTGCGTATGCGCTTTTGACTTGCCAACAATTAGATGTAGTGAAATTTTTACCTTCTGGGATTTGTCTTCTCCGTATTGTTTGGGTGGTTCTTTCCCTTTCTCTGTAAGCAGTGTTCTAGAATTTAACATCTTAGAAGGACCCCAACCCTAGGCGACTCCCTGGTGGCCTGTGGCGCTTAGTGGTTACAGCAGACTCCAGAGCTTGGGTCACTGTCCTCTTTTCCCTCACTGCCCCAGAGAAAGCGTCGTGGCGGAGCGGCACACTCCAGACAGACCCAGAAGCGGTCTCGAGACGCACGCTCCGCACCTGAGATGGCTGTGGAAGCAGAGCCCATAGAGCTTGTGGAGAGTGGTAAGCTTGCCTGGTCTCTGGAGAGGGCGGGTGGTGCCGCACTGGCCTTGTTGATCACCCACCAGTGACCTGTTGTGGGGCTGCTACACAGAGTTGGCTCACAATGAGTTAGTTAATGATGTGAAATCCTTAGAGCGGTACCTAGCACTTACTATGTGGGGGTTTGCTGTGGGCAGCATGTGCAAGGTCTGGAGAACACCCACTGAAGCTCAGATTTACCGACAGGCATCCATTGCCAAGCATTTTTTTTGTTCTCAGCCTGTGTCAGGACTGTACTGTACTCTGGCTCCTGTATGATCTAAGACTCCTTAGGGTTGGAGATGGCCTTTCAGTGGGGCAAGCACTTCAGCCTCCTGGAAACCTGCAGGCTGAGTGGTGGGAGCTGCCCTGGGCCCACCTTTTTACTGTGTGAATTCACTTTACTTTGGGAAGTACTCAGCTTTCAGCCTTTGTTTTCCATGAAGAAAGAACACTGCGCAGGAAGGCAGGCTTCTTGGGACAGCCATCTGTGGTGGCAGGAGAGCTGGTTGTGGTAGGGCAGAGTGGGCAGAGACTGATTAACTGTGGGAATGGGCTGTGGTAGTCAGAGAATACCCTGCAAACAGCCGGTTTTAGCCCCCATGAGCTTCCGCTGAGAGCTAGCTTTTGTTTGTGTCAACCTGTACTACTTATTTGATTTTTTGTGTTGGTGAACACATCGGCCTGTGCTCAAATGTTTACAGTGCAGCAGGCATTGAGTGCCTGTTTCAGGCTATGCCACCCTGAATATAAACTCAGTGGCAGATTGTGCCCCCCTTCTACCCTCACCCAAAATGTTGTCATCCAAGACATACTGTCACCATGAATATACATTCCGTGCCCCCTTCACACAGTCTCCCAAAACGCCTCACGCCCTTTTCCCCTCTAGATGACCACTTGTCCCTCATCTTTGGTGGTTTTGTTTGCTGATTTCCTGTACAGGAGCCCCAGCCCCTTTGTCCTGACTCCCTCGTCTGCGTGGTGTCTGCTGTGTTGACGAATTGCATTCACCTATAAGAATCTGCTCTCCCGGTCTTTATTTCAATAAATCAAGGTACATGGTTGTTTGGTTTGTTCCCCTCATGCTTATTCAGTGCTCTCTTTTGAAGCTGGAGATGAAATTGTGGACCTCACCTGTGAGTCCTTGGAGCCTGTGGTGGTCGACCTGACGCACAATGACTCTGTCGTGGTGAGTGGGCCCTGCTAAGAAGGGGCTGGTGGCGTGGGGCCCAGCGAGGCAGGCCTTTTAGGAAGATGGAGTGCTGTCACTGCTCTGTAGGCAGTAGGTCCCATTCAGGGAGACACCTTGATTTCTGGCCCTCACTTCTCCTCGATGCCTCATTCGGCTTCAGTGTCCAGTTGGTGGCCTGCACATGACCCCTCATAAAACTGTAGGGAATTGTGAGGATTGAGGGAGGGCCTCTAGTTGAGTGCCAGGTGAGGTGGAACCCACCTAGAGGGCCATGGCCTACAGGCTCAGCACTGGATTGTCCCTGAAGTTGAAGAGCAGCTGCCAGTAAGTGTGGCCCTGGGGGACGCAGGTACCTGCAGTGCCACTTGATGCCCTGGTTGTGTTGTGACTCCAGGGAGGACAGGCTTGAGCTGGCTGCTCGTGTCCCTTCTCCCAAGACCAGTTAGGGCTCTTAGAGGATGGCATGGGCCCTGTGTGCATCCTGTGCTGACGGGGCCCCAGGAGCTCCTTGTCCCTACCTTGGGGCAGGACTGCACACCTGAGTGCAGGCTGGGAGGCTCAATGGCCTCTCTATGCAGTGTTACCCAAAATGGGCGATGCCACTCCCTGGAGGTGCTGGAACAATCCAGGGGGTTACGAAAGCAGATATGCACATGTTATATCCCGAGTCGTGGGCTGTATTAAATTTTGTCATTGTGGGGGTGCCAAGTAATTTTTTCTGTACAGAGGGCAGTAGGTCAAATAAGCATGGGGACAGGTGTTTTAGAGCAGGTGTAGTAAAAAGTTTTGGGAGGAGGGGGGCCAGCCCCCACCGCTACTACCCACGGGTTCAGTAATGCACAATTGTACGGTTGAGATATATAATTATTATATTAAAGTCATTGAGATCATGAGAGGTAGAGGAGAGATATTACAATAATGCAGTCAGACACATTACATGGTAGCATTGCTCACCTCAGCCCCGCTTGGTGGTCCACATGGAGAGAGGGGGAAGGAAAGGAGAAAGGGAAAGGGAACAAGGGTGAGGACAGGAGAGGAGAGGGGGAAGAGAGGAGAGTGGGACCAGTGATAGCCCAGCGAGAGTTCTCTATTTTTGACCTACACCTATATACCTTTGGGGCGTGCAAGCCCACTAATTAGAGGTAAAGACACACGTCACAGGAAGGGGTTGCACTATAGGTTATACAGCAATGAGAGGGGGTTGTCTAGGGACATACACGCAATAAGAAGAGGAGGGATTGGGGGTATACATGTGACAAGATGGGCGGATCCTAGATTTAGGATGGCAGTTTAGCTTTGGCCTGTCCATTGTCTTTAACAGCAGGGAGCGGGGCCACCCCTGTGGTGGGGTAAGACAGCAGTCTGGCAGCAGCAGTCTGGCAGCGATTGCAAGGATCTGACCTCCCCCCACAGGCAGGAATGGGAAACTTTTTTCTGGCAAGGGCCATTTGGGTATTTTAACATAATTGGTGGACCATACTAGATATACCTCATGAACTCCTCACCCCTAGAGTGTAGGAGCCTTGGTTGGTGTAGCAGTTACACATTGGGCTGCTAACCGCCGCAACGTTAATAGTTCGAACCTACTAGCCGCTCCATGGGAGAAAGATGGGGGTTTCTATTCCTGGAAACAGTTATGGTCTCAGAAACTCACAGAAGCAGTTCTATCTTGCCCGATATGGTCTGTGAGTTTGGCATCCACTCGATGGCAGTGGGAAAAGAATGTGATGGCTGAACTTCTCTTTCATGAGGCATTGATGTCAGCTAGCATTGGTGATTGCTGGGGACTTATGCGCCCCACATTTCCTACCACTGCAAGGGACTGCCACTCTTAGCTGTTGCTGACCTCATCTACCAAGGTGGTGGCATGGAGGCAGCTGCCACACTTCAATGAGGGACAGTCGGTTACCATGGTGTAAGCCGGAGACTTCCCATTCTAGAATTTGCCATGGTCACAGGGCTCAGGGGTGACCTGCAGACCATTGCTTCCAGGTTGTGCTTAGAATGGGCTTTACTGAGCCACCTCCAGGTCGCAACAGCAGAAACCAGAGGGTGAACAGGTTTATTGGTATCCTATTTGGGAGTATGCTCAGCTGTCAGACTTTACCCCATTTTACCGCTTACAGCCCAAGAACCAAGGGGACCTCTGTTCCTCAGTAGGAACAAGTCATTTTCCTGGAGACCGATTTGTATTTGCAGAGCCAAACAAGGGTGACCTTGGTTTACTTGCCTGCTCTTTGCTTGGACTCGAGAAGTCTGTTTTCTGAGATGCCTCTCTGCCCACAGCTGGGGGGGCTCCCTGGTGTTTGGGAAAGATGGATTCACTTAGTGCCTTGGCTGGAGCCCCTAGGCTAGGTGCCGATTAGCTCTGAGAAAGTGTGGCAAGTTCTTTTCTCAAACGGTGTGCTTTGATTTGTTTTTGTTTTGGATAGTGCAAGAAAAAGTTGGAGATCTTTTCATGATGTTGAAGCTGTAGGTGCCCGAAGCAGGTGACTGTGATAAAGACTGTGTTTCCTGTGTGGGTAGGGATCAGTTCAGTTGTTTCATAGAATGCCAGAAAATTTACAGGGCAGTCAGAGACAAGTAGGAGTCCCCCCCAACAGTTGAAGTTTGTCCAGGACTCCCTGAATGCACTCAATATTCTCTTAGCCAGACCCATCCGGGAAAAGCTCTCTGATGGACATGACAAAGACAGACAGGAGAGGCTGCACTAACTATAGATCATTCACTGCAGTGCAGAGGGCTTCAAAGGGTCATGGAAAATTCAACTACCTTTTAATTCCATTTTCCCATGAACTATTTGAAGCCCTCCCAGTTTGTCTTTGATTTGTTGTCGGATGTCTAATTTTTTTCCATAAAGGCAACGCCGGTATGAGTGTGTGTAGTTCAAAGCCCTCACTGTTAGCCATCGTCACCACCACTTTGGAATTGTAGGCATTCTGTGATGGGAGGAGACGCTGTGGGGTGGAATGTGAGGCCAGCAGTTCAAAACTACTAGCCACTCTGTGGAGAGAGGAGGCTTTCTGCTCCTGAAAACAGTCTTAGAGACCCCTGGGGGTGTCCCACTCGGTCTTAGAGGATCCCCACGAGTCAGAATCAGCTTTATGGCAGCGGTGAGTTTGGTTTGAGTGATGGATTTGCCAGAGAGCATCCCATTGTGGTTTGAATTTCTATTTTCCTGTTAGAAATAAGATCGAATACTTTGTCGTGTTCATTGGTAGTTTATCCTCTTTTGTGAAGTGCCCTTTTGAGCTTTCACTCATTTTCAACTTGAACATCTGCCTTTGTCTTTCTGATTTGTTAGGACTTGTTGGCAAGTTGTGAATATGAGCCCACTGTTAGTTCTGTGCTCTGTCTTCACCGAGGCTTGTCTTTCATTTCCCCCCTGCTGTCTGTTGGCCTGCAGAAGTCCTTCATGGTAGTGTGGTGGGTGGTAGCTGTTGGTTGGAGACTCTTCCCTTACCCTGCACCACTCATAGTAGATTGCTGTACTGTTTTTCGCACTTACGGCTGGCACAGGCGCCAGTCTTGGAGTTGGTTGCAGATGGGCTTCTCAGGTGGATCACTTAGCTTTTCCAGCAGAGGTGGCCCCCAACTTAAAATGGCTAACACAGCTACCAGGAACCACACTCAAGACCACCTGGTTTCGTGTTCATCACTTGTGTTTTTCGTGTCTGATTCAGTGAATGGCTTGGTGTAGCTCCCTAGCCAGTATCTTTGTAGCTCCTACCAAATGACTGGATGAGACTAAGGGCTTAGATCACTCACTGTACTGTAATATGGTTACATGCTATCCTTGTGGGGTGGTTCTGTCAAGTTGATACTCGACTCAAGCTCACCCTGTAGAAGAGAGTACAGCTGCCCCTTTGGATTTCTGAGCTTGAAGTCTTTACAAGAATAGACAACCTCATCGTTCTCCTCTGGAGTTGCTGCTGACTTCAAACACTGATGTAGCTCACAGTTTTAGTGTACAATCTATGATGTCACTGGAGCTCCTTCCCTTGTGGGGTGGGACTATGCAAATAAAGGTGCATGGAGCCCTAATGTGGGCATTGGTCAGTTTTGCCATCTTGCTAGGTTTAAGGTGAACCATCTCAGAGCCTGAAAGTGAGAATCTCACTGTCAAGAAAGAAGAGGCAGGAGGGAGCATGACCTGAGACCCCTATGCCGAACTTCCTTGGTCCAGGAGACAAACTGCTTCTGGTGAGAGGTAAAAAGAAGCAGAGGTGGAGACTTCCAGCATCGTAACAAGAGACGAGCAGGAGCCCGAGCAGTGGGCTTCTTGGTCCATGGGGCAGGAAGAGCTGAGTGCCTTGGGGTAAGGGGTGAAAGGCAGGAGGTTTGCTTAGCAGAGTGGGTATCAACCAGCAGAGCTAAAAGAGCTTTGTAACACAGGCTAGGAGCTTGTGGTTCAGAGTTGGACGAGCAGAGAAGTTTGCCTGTGGACATAGCTCAGATGCTATCCTGACCTGAGAACTTGTATCGTGAGCTGTGTGTGATGGGTGGTGTCAGACTTGGGAAAAGGTTGGTGGGTGGAGACATGTCTGGCTCCTCCCCCATCGGAATGACCCTTGTGAGGTTCGAGACAGTCAGACACTACCGCCACACCATTTCTGCACAATTTGCTGCTGTTAGCATTCTTCGTGTTGGTTTTTTTTCTTTTTCATTTTAACCTAGCAATCCTTATTCTGTAACTCTGGATTTTTGAATGAGTGGTCATATTCTCAACAAGGACAGTCTTGTATATCAGTGTTGAATTTTTATGGCTGCATTTTTGCCCCTTTTAGCATGTGAAAGGGAGAATTGCGCCTTTTTTGCATTGAGCCAACCTTAACCGGGTCCTGGCTGTGATGCTCTGTCCTCTATGTTGTTGGGCTCAGTTTGCTGAGCTTCGTTCTGTGCGTGGTTCTTGTGCCGTCTCACATGGCGGAGTAACAGTTGCAGCAGAACCTGTGCACCTTCAAGGGGCCTCAGGCTCGAGATCAGCCCAGCGCTGATCGCTCTCCCCTCAAACCTTGTCAGCAAGTCGGGCTCCAGCCATCCCTCTGATGCCCCCTACCCGCAAGCCTTTTCACCAAGTAAGTCTAAATCTAGCCATCCTCCCATGGCATGCTCTGCCTCTCTGCCTGTTCACAGAGCTCACGGTTGTCACAGGGTACAGCTCAGAAGTCAGCATCAGGTCGTCGCCCTTCTTCAGTGCAGAACAGCTCTGCTCTCTCTTGACCATGCAGGCCTCCTGAGGACAGGCTTTTCTTAGCCCTGCCATTTGTCACCACAAGCTTTGCCTCTGGACCCTTTGGGCCTCCTTTGGTGTTTTAGCCCTTGGCCCCTGTTGCCCTTCTGTCTTGGTCCTCCTCTCTTCCTTCTTTCTGTCTTAAAATTCTCTGGCTATGATGCGGATGAAGCATGTATGAAGAGGCTTTGAAAAAGTTTGTGGGGAAATTAATTATCTTTAAATTACATTTTCCCACAAACTTTGTGAAGCCCCCATATCCACAAATGACTTTTCAGGTTCAAGGCATGGCCCTCCCACTAGGGCTAGGAACCTATTAGCCCAGACGGTTTTGGTAACCTTGTGAAGTGCACCATCTCCTTCGGTTCTATGGAAGATTTTCTAAGTTGAAATTTGTTCCAACTGATAGAACTCTCCAGCTTAGGTGTCTGGGCCTAGCAGTTTAATTAGCTTTAGTAACTTAAGGTTTTGAGGAATTGAGGATTTTTCACCTGTGTTTGACATGTTTGTCTGTGGGATCTGTTGTGATGCCTCTTTTTCCATTCCTGCTTGTGGTGATCTGTGTCTTTTCAGACGAGCACCCCCAGAGATTTGTCAGCTTCACTTGGTCTTTCTGTTAGCTTCATGGGTCCCTGAAAGTTTGTTTTTTTCTATTTCCTTGATTTGACTTTCTTCCTTTATCTTGCTATTCATTTTCTAAAGTATTTTCATCATTTCTTTTCTAATGAATGCATTAAAGATGGTGTGTCTCCAGTTGTGGTATGCTGCATTGCTGTATTGTACAGGAGCTGAGAACATTTCTTAAATCCCATGAGTGTTGTCTTTGACTCCTGGTTCATTTACAAGTATGTTTCTTAGCTGCCACACATACAGGAATTTTCTTACCTTTTCATTGGTCATGTTTTGCATTGCATTTTGGTCACAGAATATCCTGAGAACACATCTGTAATGTGTTGGCCTGCCCTCCCTGCGTGTACCGTACCCCTGCCCTCCGCGTCACCTGCCTTAGACCTGGTCTTTGGGTTCTGTCCTCTGAGAAGCTTAATCAAACCATTGGGTTTGAGAATCATCTGCTGTCCTCTTTCCTTGGGTTATTGTTGCCCTTTCCAGTTTGAACTGGCCACCTACCACCACCATCCGTTTTTGGTCATCTCTTTTAATTACTAACAAAGAACTTTTATTTTGGGTTTGCCCTTTTCCGTGGGAAGATTGATCCAGAGAGCTTGCACCACTTTCCTGCTGTTTCTTCTGCTCACTGCCAGGCTCGGAATTGCAGGAGGGGGCAATGTTTGAGGTGGGGGCAGAGCACCCTTCCTCAAGAGGCTGGGACTGAGAGTGAGGCTGCAAACAGTGCCACCTGGCTATGGGCTGTCTCCCTCCGTTGACTTTCTAAGGATGAGCCCTTTGCAGTCAGCCTGGTTTTCCTGGCTGCCTGTCTGGCCTGTGTCTGCACTGCGGTTGTCAGTCCTTCCTGCATTGGGTCTTGGTGGGGGTGCGGATGTCATTCAGAGGCTGTAGTAAAAGACTCCGTGGGAGCCAGAGTCCCTCTCGTCCTTTATCTGTCTGTAGAGTAGTGTCGGAATGGAGGGACGTGGGTGACAGAGTAAAACATTGGTTCCCAAGTTTATTTGACCCATTTCCCCCTTCCCAGAGAAAAATTACCTTGCATTCCCCTGGCAATTAAAATCTTTTGAACAGGATAAAGTGTGAATGGCTGCTCTGCAGCTTCCTGGATCCTTCCAGAGCCCCTCCTCTAGGGGGCAGTGTCGCCCACTCAGGAAAGCACTACGGTAAAGAACAAGCATTTAGAACACAGGCCCAGAATTGAGCCCCACTGCAAATGCGGATTGGTTGCCTGCAGAGAACTGACATGTGGCCCCACCTTGCTGGTGTCCTGGCCCTGGCACTAGTGGCTGGGCTAGAGGGAGGTGGCAGGCTCACTGTGAACTCCCATTTAAACTTCATGTGGGTGGTTTCTGCCTGGAGCATGAGCACACACAATGATGCGGGCTGCTGGGCAGAGCACCTTCAGTAGCTCCCCTTGAGCGGATTGTGCCTGCTGTCCCCTTCCTGGGAGCTGTTGGCAACTAGTAGGGTTCCCTGTGGGCAGTTGGTGCCGAGAAGTCTGACAGAGCAGGCTCCAGGCTTGGGGCGGTCACTTCCAAGATGCTTCAGTGCCTTGGCCAGGAAGTGGCTGTCTCTGGCTGTATTGAGGGCTGGGGCAGTGTCTTTGAACTTAAAGAAGCTGGGCTTGGGCACTGGCACCTCCGCTGGGGTGCTTCTCAGTACCCAGGACCAAGGGTCAGTAATGACCAGTCTCCCTCTTTGATGCCACTCTGAGCCAAGAGAAGCTCAAGAGGGACGGGCTGTGCTGCACATGAGAGAGAGAGAGAGTGTGTGTGTGTGTGTGGCAGGAGAGGGGGGTGCATCTTTGGTACCCTCAGGTACGCAGAATTGAATTGATCACAGCACTGGCATGCACCACTCCCATGGGTCCCCACAGGTCACCTTCCATGTGTCTTTATAGCTCGTTATTTTTAATCACATTGTCAGCATCGCAGCCTTACTCAAGTGAAGGCTCAGCCCTTTGCTCGGGTGCTCTCACTCCCAGAGGCTGTGTGGGGTCTCAGGCAGCACTGTGAGTTTGGTGCCTCTTTGACCCCCACCAGATGCACACAGGGAGTAGCCCAGCCAGGGAGGGACCACGCTGGTGGTCAGCGGTGAGGCCCCAGGCCTGGGTGAGGAGGTCCATGGCTGACAGGGAGAGGCGCCCAGATCTGTTGTTGCCGAGCGGAAACAGGGCCTCGGGGCTCTTCCTCAGAGGATTTGAGGTTGGGTCCTGGCAGCAGGTTTCCCAGTGCCTCACACATTTGAAGCTAGATGTGCCTTAGTTTTGTCATTTAAGAACTAGGTTTTTGTTTGTTGTTGTTAGATGCCATCAAGTCAGTTCCAACCCAGAGTGACCCCGTACACAACCAAACAAAACCCTGCCCTGTCTGTGCCGTCTGCACCATGGTCCCTGAGCCTGAGCCCACCGTTGCAGCCACCGTGCCCGTCCACCTCATTGAGGGCCTGCCTCTTGGTTGCAGCCGCTCCACTTGCCTAAGCATGATGTTGGGTTTTTGTTTGTTTCCATTGAATACCTTATATCAAACTGATTGCTTCTGTCTTTTTTGTGTTTATCCTTCCCTCCCTTTAACAGATTGTGGAAGGTGAGTGCCTTCTTATTTGGAGCGTGGGGTGGAGTGTGTCAGGGTTCCTGTCAGACAGCCCTCGGGGGCCAGGATGAAGGCGGGGAGACATCTCTGAAGATCCTGTGATCAGAGATGCACTTTCAGGCCTCTCCTGCTTGGGGGAGGTTCCACTTCCCACACTGACTTGGGGGAGGAAGTTGCCAGCCTTAGAATGGACATTGGCTCAGCCCTCTGTGGGAGGGATGGGGGTCTGTGGGGTGAGGCATGGGGGCAGAACTCATAGCCTTTTCCAGTTGGGATGGGAGGGTAGGCAGTCTGGGGAGGTCCTGACTTGATATCACCCCTCAAACCTTAGAAAGGAGGCGGCCCCGGAGGACTGCCAGGAGACTGCGCCAGGACCATGCTGACAGCTGTGTTGTGAGCAGTGACGATGATGACTTGCCCAGAGACAGAGATGTGTACGTGACTCCACCCACACCCAGAAACACCAGAGAGGAGGGCACGACAGGACTCAGGTACAGAGGTGCCCACACAGCCCCTTCTCAGGCTGAGGGTCTCAAGAGCTTTCCAGGGCCTCGGTGGCCACCCAGGATGCAGAGGGAGCTGGTTGCAGAGCTGACCTGCACTGCCCCGGGGACCATGCTGGGTCAGGCACTAGGCGGCGAATGGAGATACCTGAGCCAGTTGTGAAGAAGAGGTGCACAGCCCCCAGCTGCCAACACCAGGAGGGTGGAGTGTGCCCTGCTGGCTTCAGCCTGAGCTGTGTAGATGGAACTGGCATTGGGGCCCAAGCCCTGGCTTTACTTTCTTGAGATTCGAGGTGGCATTGAGGGGTTGGTATATGCTTGCTGGGGTGGGGACAGGGGGCTCTGGTATTAACACCCTTAATTGCCTCCCTTGGACAGCGTGCTTCTAACAAGCAGGTCTTCAGGGTACCTGTGCTGGGGCAGGAAAGCCCTGGTGGAAGGAAGCTCTCTGAGGGACTTCCTCAGACAGTGACAAGATCCCCCGTGGTTCTAGGTCCTCTGGCACAGTCAGCTGTCCAATCTGCATGGATGGATACTCTGAGGTAAGCCAGCCTTCTGGCCTGGGTGGGAACCAGACCAGTGGGTGGGGCTAGGCGGTCCTCCCTGGTCAGCATGGGGCTGGTCTGTGTGTGCTGAGGGAGAACATGTTGTGTGGTCCCAGCCTGATCCTATGCAGAAACTGCAAATAGTTTCTGACCCCTCTGCCTAGTCCAGCAGCCCTGAACCTTACTGAGCCCTACGTCTTCCATGCACTGAGACTGCTCATGACCCTCAAGCTGCTGCTGCAGTCCCACCAGGGAGGAAACCCCAGAGATCCCACGTTTGCCTGATGGGGCCCCTGGCCACGGTCACCTAAGCTCCTGGCTTCGTGTCTTTCTAGATTGTGCAGAATGGCCGTCTCATCGTGTCTACAGAATGTGGCCACGTGTTCTGCAGCCAGTGCCTCCGAGATTCCCTTAAAACCTCCAGTACCTGTCCGACGTGTAGGAAAAAGATCAGCCACAAACGGTACCACCCCATTTATATATGAGGTCAATGGCTGCTCAGGGAGACCCCCAACACACAGGCGGCTTTGGGTATGTAAACTACCTGCCTCTATCCCTGGCCTCACAAAGATTCAGAAGCCAACACCCAAACCTTCGCCCGTTCGTTTATCTCCGCCTCCCTTTAGATCTTTCTCTGTCCGGGGCCTTTGCAGACCAGGCTCTCCATTCTGCTGCTCTCTCTCGGGTGATCTGGTCACTGCCTAGGAGGCACAGGCAGCCCCTGTGTTCCACCTGGTTGGATTGTGAATCAGGGTCCCAGCTTCTTTCGGGAACCTGCATGTTTGCCAAGAAGTTTCCCCCGAAACCAAGCTTCCTGCGGACAGTGTCACGGCGGGGCAGGGTCTGGGCAGTGAGTGAACAAACAGGTCTACCTTGGCTTTCTTGGGCCCACCACCTCACCTCACAATGACCAAGCCAAATCCAGTACACTTGGTTGAGGATTCCAGCTGCCAGAGTGGCCCCAGGCCCCTGGATAGCCCTCCAGCCCTCTCTTCCTGAGGAGTCAGCAGACAGCTGTGGTGTTCGGCCTGCACCTTAGCACCTGTGGACGGTGGTTTCTATTCTTCCAGAGGTGCGCTCTGCAGGGTAACCCTGTTCCCTATGACACAAACAAAAATAAGTGCAATAAAGCCCGATCTTCACTTCTCAGCATCCCGGAGATGTAGCTCTACGGGTGGCCCTGGAGCAGTGCCGTCTCCACTCTGTGTCTGTTCTCCAGCTGTTCTCAGGAACCTCACCCAGGCCCCAGCAGTGTCACCTGGCACAGGAACTGCAGGGTCCGCCATGAGCCCACCGTCAGGTCCTCACTGCTCTTTTCTGATACTGCCCCTCCTAGGCCGGCAACATGTTCTCTGTGCTGATCAGGCTCCAGGCTCCTGACCACAGGCATGGGAGGCCTGACCAACTCCTCACTTCCACTCTGTTGCCCAGGTCACTGCTGTCCCTCATTCTAAAAAACTTGGCCCTGCCTGACCTCAGCTGGGCAGGCCTGGCTTCCTCACCCGCCACTTGGCCGTGAGGCTGCCCTCCAGCTCTTGGGGCTTTGTCACCTGTCCTTTGGACTTCTCCGTGTGCTTGGTCGGCAGAAGCCTGATGATAGCGTGTCCGGAGGAGTCCAGAGACTGCTCCCCAAGGTGACCACGCTGTCCTGAGGGGACTGAGGCCACCTCCACCTTCTGCCCCTCCTCCCTCCCAGGGCCTCAAGCCAAACCAGCAGCCTTCATGGTGGGACAAGGCCGCTCCAGCTTTGCCAGCAATACCTGACCTCCAACTCACCCTTCTGAGGGAGCCGGGCTCCGCACAGAGTTGGCTTCACACAGGATGGAGCGGGGCCTCCTTGGGAGCAGAGAAGGGCTTAGTCTTCACCGCTGTGCAGTGGGCTCACCTCCATTTAGTGTGCACCAGTCATGGATGACCGTCCCTTGAGCCTCCTGGAGGGACACATAGCTTGGCATTCACCCACAAATGGCCCCAGCGACACAGTTGCTGTGACGGTGACATTCCTGGCAGACTTCATGTAAATGCTTTTTTCTTTGATTCTTACAATGCCTGGACTTCAGCAGCCAGGCAGCCCAAGGCCGACACAGCCATTTCAGAGTGTTTTCAGTTTTACATGTTATATAGCTTAAGGAGTAGTTTATTCATCTGAAATTAAATTGGGGGGAAATGGGTGTTTAGTTTCTTTTCTTGGATACTGCAGAATAGGAAATGTTCAAGTTAAGATGAGCCTCCTTGCCCCCTCCTCATTTGTACATAGGTCAACCCTTTATTTGCTACCTTTGAACTGTAACTATGTAGATCGGTCCATTTTGGACTCCTCTGCTAATCTTAAAAATGGAAATAAACCATTAATTTGAGCCAAATCTGTTTTTCATGGATTTCTATGGTCTTGGAAGCCAACCCCTCCTCCCTTTTTGCTGATGTCGGGGTGGGCAGTTATCTGCTGATCCTGTTAACGAACCCAGAAGCTAGTGGGTGGGGCAGTTCTTTGAGCCTGGCTGTTGCCTGGGTGCACAGGAAGAGCGCAGTGGCCCTGTGGATGTGGCCGGACCAGACTGCACGAGCACATGATGGGCGGTGCCTGGGAAACAGAAGATGGGATGGGCTGAGGTTTCTCAACTCACTCTGCACACCTACCCTGTCAGCGACCTGCAGTAAACTTCAGAGGCCTGCTTGGCTTGAGCAAAAAAAAAAAAAGCCTCCTTGATGTATACTTATGCGCCTGGCCCGGCGCTGGCCTCTCAGAGCACGTTAGTGCCGGAGATAGCCAGTCAGGCCCACCAGAAGCAAGAGGAGTTGCCAGCTAGAGGCTGCAGGCAAGTTTTCCAGGCTAAATAGGGATTCTGAGCAGAGACCCCAGGCCCAGGGCCTGATGACCTGCACAGTAGGGCCAGCCAGCGTCCGGTAACCTCTGGGTGTTGATGTTAATTTGTTGCTGTGGCTATGTATAGCAATACATACGTGGGTTTCTACACCAACAGTTGAGTAACACTGAGTTACTTTCTGTGAGCTGTGGAGCCAGTCTCATCTTTCCGAGTTGTTCTCTGCCCCTAAGGTCTCTATCTAGTCCTTCCCGTGACTGTTGTTAAGTTGCTCCCTTGGGGGGTGGGGTGATAGTGGTAGTAAGTGCCATCGGGTCAGCTACTGTAAGCACAACAGAGTGAAGCACCACCCAGGCCTGTTCCATCCTCACATTGGTTCCTATGCTCGACAGACACTGTTAAATCCATCTCCTTGAGGGCCTTCCTCATTTTTGCTGCCCCTCTACCAAATGTCATGTCCTTCTCCAGGGAGTAAGCTCTCCTGCAACATGTCTACAGCGTGTAAGACAAAGTCTCAGCATCCTTCCCTCTAAGGAGCACTCTGGCCTTGCTTCTTCCAAGACAGACTTGGAAAACTTGCTCCTGTGGAGATAAACCCAAAATCAAACTCCTTGACATCAAGTGGATGCTGACTCATCGCTGCCTCATAGGATAGAGTAGAACTTGCGCTTGTGTTTCCAAGACCAACCTTTTTTTTTTACAAGTGTAGAAAGCCTCATCTTTCTACCCAGGACCAGCTGGTTTCGAAATGCTGGCCTTGCAGTTAGCAATTCAACAATGTAACCCACTATGCCACCAGTTCAGAACCACCAACTGTCCAAGAGAAAAATGGGACTTTGTACCCCCTCCCGTAAAGAGTTACCATCTTGGAAACCCAGGGAGCAGCTCAGGGCGCAGCTCTACGCTGCCCGGTAGGGTCAGTGGCAGGCGTTTGGAAAGCGACAGTGGGAGTGCTGGGAAGCAGGAGCACACGTTCTTGTAGCAATAGTGAGCTACAGGTGGGTGCATGGAGAGAACACGGGCTGAATATACTGAACTGTGGTAGGATTCTTTGGTATGTGTGTTTACCTTTGCTACAAATACAACCTGAATTGTTAGGGTGAGGGTGGGGCGGGGTGGGAACATAAAGAGCAAACTTCTTAGCCAAACATTTTAAGGGAATGAGCCACTAGTCCTGGATGTTCAGGACCATAGTCTGCAGACTGGCATAAGAGTATCCTACCTTGAGAGTAGAGACGGGTCTTCAAAGCTCACAGGTGTGAGTATTGGGTCTCTCCCCATCTGGAGGAAAGGAGTAAAACAAATGGAACGCTTATGACAGTGGTTCTCAACCTTCCTAATGCCACGACCCTTTAATACAGTTCCTCATGTGGTGACCCCCGCCCCCCAGTGGTGAAATTATTTTCGTTGCTACTTTACAACTGTAATTTTGCTACTGTTTTGAATCAGGGGGCCCTGGTGAGAGGGTTGTTCGACCACGAAAGGGGTCGTGACCCACAGGTTGAGAACCACTGGCCGTTAGTTCAATGGACTAGTAATGGTCCATGCAAACCATCTCTATGAACCTGACAGCAGAAGTAGACGGTGCCTGGCCACCACGCTCCAACTGCTAAAAGAGATCACCTTAGGTCCCAGGCAGAGTGGGAGAAACCAAGACGAAACTCACACTTCCTGGTCCAATCAAGACTGATAGAACTCCCAAGACTGGCTCTTTGAAACCCTTCAGGCCTGGTGCCAAACTCACCCCCTGAACCAATTGATCTGTAAGGGGAACAGGATCATAGGGAGGGGCCCACATCTTAGAATGATGAGCCACTCGGGTTTAAAAGGGCAGCATTTGCCCAAGAACAGTTCAGAAGGCTTAGGAAGGAAGGATTAACCAGATTGGTAGTCTTAGTTACATTGTAGGATGCAATCAATGATATGAAACAAAATGTGTCTGAATTACTGAACACTGAATTCCTGATAGAATTTTACATAAATGTGGCATTTTAACTACGTTTCTATAGCCAGCTATACTGTTACCATATAGTAATTATATAGAATTTTTTTTGAATATTTTTTTTTTATAGGACACCCCTCTCTTGATTGTCCAGTTAGAACTCTGGACAATTGAGGGTTTTTTGTTTATTTTATAAATCATTTTATTGGGGGCTATGTTAGTCTGGGTAGACTAGAGAAACAAATACATAAACACACTCGTGTATAAGAAAGAGGTTTATATACAAGAGCAATTGAACATGGAGAAAACGTCCCAACCCAGTCCAGGCCAAGGCCATGAGTCTCTATTAGCGCATATGTCCGATACCAATCTATAAAGTCCTCTTCAGACTCACAAAACACATGCAATGAAGCCAACTGCAGGACGATCACAAGCCAGTGGGTAGAAAGTCTTTGGGTCCAGTGGCATTGTAGGCATCTCAGCGCTGGCAGGGGTCTCTCTTTGGCTTCTCCTGAGTTCTGGCTGCATCCATGTGGCTTGTCTTCTGCAATGTCTCCTAGGGAGTAGCAGAGAGAGAGGTGTCTAATGCCTCCAAGGAGGAAGTACCAGAATTCTCAGGAAAAGGCCATACCCACAGAAGTCTCATTTGGCTATCTCCAGATCGACAACCTAGACTCCACCCCTACACTCTTAATCCTTAAATTGACACCAGATTAGGTGACTACCACAGGGGCTCTTATAACAATCCATACATCAATTGTACCAAGCACATTTGTACATATGTTGCCATCATCATTCAAAACAGTTTCTTTGTACTTGGGCCCTTGGTATCAGCACCTCATTTTTCTCTCCCTTCCTCACCCTCCCACCCTCATGACCCATTGATAAATTATAAATTATTCTTTTCATATCTTACACCACCCACTGTCTCCCTTCACCCACGTTCCTGTTGTTCATCCCCCTGTGGGGGAAAGTGCTTATACATCAGTCATAACAATCGGTACCACTTCTCTCTCTTCCCCCCTTCCTTCCCCTACCCTGATAGTACTGCTACTCCCATTACTGTCCCTGAGGGTTTTATCTGTCCTGGATTCCGTGTGTTGAGAGCTCTTATCTGTGCCAGTGTACATGCTCTGGTCTAGCCGGATTTGTACAGCAGGGCTGGAAGGAAGAGGGAGAGGAAGCATTAAAGAACTGAGAGGAATGTTGTGTCTTTTGTTGGTGTTACACTGCACCCTGGCTGGCTTGTCCCTTACTTGTGACCCTTCTGTGAGGGGATGTCCAATTGTCTACAGTTGGGCTTTGGGGCTCCACTCCAAACTCCCTCATTTTCATTGATATAATTGTTTGGGGGCTTCTGAAGCCTGATACCTGATCCCGTTGACACCTTGTACTCACAGGGTGGTGCGCTTCTTCCATGTGGGCTTTGTTGTTGCCCTGCTAGATGGCTGCTTGCTTAATTTCAAGCCTTTGAGACACCAGACACTGTATCTTGTAATAGTCAGGCACCATCAGCTTTTTTCACATTTGCTTATGCACCCATTTTGACTTCAGCATTCGCGTTGGGAAGGTGAGCATAGAATGCCAAGTTATTAGAACAAAGTGTTACTGCATTGACGGAGGACTTGAGTAGGAGCTCAATGTCCATTTGCTACCTTGATATTTAACATACAAGTATGTATACATAGACCTATATCCTTATCGTTATATATTAATATATTTACATGCTTATATTTATACCTCTATCAATGTCTTTTGCCTCCTAGTTCTTTCCTCTATTTCCGCCTGTCCCACTATCATGTTCGACCTTCATTCAGCTCTCAGTAATTCCTCTCGGCTACATTATACTTGATCAAACCCCACCAGGCGTTCTACACCTTTCTAGCCATCGATTTTTGATCTCTTGTTCCCTCGTCCCTGGATTTGTTGGCTACCCCCTTCCTTTCACCCAACTCTCCCTCTCCCCTGACCCCCCACTGTTGGGTTTTCTATATTCAGTCACATCATCTGCATATAAATGCTCTA